GCAGGCAGCCTGACGGAGGAAAAAGCCCTGGTTGTATAGCAAAGAAAGGAAGGGTTTCTGTAGGAGTTTCATCTGCCAAAACACAACACAACATAAAATTAGACATTAATTCATAGAAAAACCAAACTGTATTAAAAAAGTTAGCTACTCATGAATATATGAGAAACAGAAATGTTAAAAATAAAGAAATTAATTTCAAAATATTGGGCCAAGAGAACATTATGGTTATTTGTTTATATAAGTCAAAGGAAGAAGACATGAAATACACATGCTTGTCCAACCTTTATTCACTCATTTATACACTTTAAAACACATACATTGATTACAGATGTGGTTACCACTTCTCTAATGCCAGAATAAAATTAATATGTTAACATATGGGTGTGGTTGCATATCATTTTATCATTCTTTGTAACACTACGATAATATTTGACAAATTATTCAGAAAAGTGTAATAACTTCTTTGTAGGCAGTGTGCTATATTTATATTAAGTTTAATAAGCATAACAGTGAAAAGACGGTCAGGCATATAGCGGCAAAGAATGGAATTAATGAATTATCGATGATATTTTGTTAACTGGAGTTGTTTACGGGTCTGTTGCTTCAGACAGGTGCACGCTTAGCATATGGATGCTACTTCATCCTAGGACAGTTCTGGTTTCCATTTGGGCATTTGTAATTTTTCACATGTTTACCGCTTTCTTCGAGAGTGCACACTTTCAGTAAGGAAAGAGATTGAAATGAATTTTGGGGAAATTACTTTTTATGAATATTTGATGAAAGGGATTTGTTTTGCCTTTTTTTGTTTTCTAAGATTACAGTCAGGCCATGTGGAAAAAATAGGTTGTATATAAGGGGCAATCATAGCAACAACTATAATAGTAATTTTAAAAAATTGTTGATATGTTTTTTGTTATGACTATTATCATCTGTACGTATAAGTTCCTACACAGGGCTGTAATTTGCCATGCTTCTCTATTTTGAGTAGTGTTTTGTAAGTATTTTAGTGTTTTGCAAATGAATTAATTGGTTTTAGATAAAACCAAAGGGATTACATGGGGAATCCAAGTGGCAAAACCTGTAGCCTGCCGGTCGGGGGCATCCCTGTCTCCTTGGAGAGGTGGGGACTCCTGGTACCTGTACAGCGGTACAGGGAGAGGCTGAAATATGCACTGCTCCTCTCAGGCCTCAATATCTTTCTCAGGAGGCTTTTCACAGATAGGTAATGCAGATTTTTATGTAATAAACTGGGTTTTTTTGGTGCTTGATTATCCCATTCAGCATTTAAAAAGGAAGGCTGGCTTTTGCGTAGGACATAGTACCTTGAGCTGTTTGGTTTTCTCTCTGTGCCCCATCTTCTTTTTTTTTTTTTTTTTTTTTCATTTTTAAATTACATGGTTATTATCTGTGAAAATCATCAGCAGTGGAATAGCCAAGAACAAAACGCTCTCACTGGGCTCTAGAGCTAATAGCCAAATGAGATAACCAGGGAGCAAGAAGTTAAATCTGTTACCGTTCTTGCGCCTGCCTACAGATTCGGACGGTGTAACATCAGCTACCCTCCGCTCCTGTCGGGAAGGATGCCGCTGTGGCTGGCCAGTTACAAAGTAAAAGCTGTAAAAAGCCATAATTGGGAGAGGGAGAATGTAAACTTGCACTGAAGACTAAGTCAGGCTTATAGCCTGTATGTTTTTAATACCCCTCCTTACAAAACAGAAGACATATTTTGAAAAAAGACTCGACAAAAAAATGCCAAACAAAAAACTATCAATGGCAAAGAATCCAAATTAAAAAAAAAAAACTAAAAGAAACAAAAAAACAACAACAAACAAGTTCACAAAGGGGGAATCTCCCAGTTTTAAGTAGGGAGTTCCCAAAACACAAAGACATGTTTATGTAGGATGCAAGTTCTGGGTTTGCTGTAACATAAATACAGGGGTTTTTTCTATTTGGAAGTAAGTATGCTCATGTCACTGTATAAGAAGGCCTCTATATGAAGGAACAAGAGACCAGAATCAAGGCTGAATAAGCTCAATTAACATTAATATTTTATGTAATTGGGTAAGGGAAATTTAATCTTCCCAACAATGTGTCACCTGACAAGCATGCAGTCACTGCACCCAACAAGAGGAGGTGGGTGGGAAGCTTTTTTTTGATATTCAGATACATTTTGCTATTGAATACAAATCCGAATTGCCAACATGAAACTCTTGAGAGCCCGTTGTACTGCTGAATGGTACGACAGTAAGGGATTGCTTCACACTCCGGTGTCGTGGGAGTGTTTGGAGCTTGGATATGGGCAGATACAGCCACGTACAGGAGAAGGGCAGTCTTCAGTGTACAAGTCTGAGTATCTCAGTATTTGGAGTCCGGTGGTATGCTGCAGCCTCTCGAGGTTGGGAACCGCCAACAGTCAACCCCTGGTTGGGTTGGGGCCAAAAAGAGTCATTTTAAAGGAATTGGTGCTGTGATTTGTTGATTAAATCACACCCACGTGTATAAATCCGCAGGCAAACCAACAAAATAAATACAAAGCAGAGCTTTCTTGCAAAGGGCTTTTCTCGTCGCTTTAGCTGGAATGGAAACGGTGCTAGAGTATCGCTGTATGGGGTTGACAAATATTTTTCTAAGTTTGGACTAGGAGCTTTCTTGCAAACCACCCACTCTCCTCGCTGGATCGGGGTGGGCTGGAGCCAGCTGGCGCTGGCCCAGGGAACTGGTGCGCCAGGTCAAGCGGGAGATGCTCTGATTCAGCAGAGGCTGGAGCAGATCGTACAGCTCGTCTCCCCTTCCGCTTATTCACCTCCTGGAGTAAAAAAAATCCCTCTTTCGGGTACTGCACATCCCTGAGTATAACGGGTTTGCAGCATATCCCGGCCACGTTGAGCTTGGCCTGTGTTGGGGAGGGGATTGCTGCTCTCTTAGCTGTCCGGTTTAGCCAGCTATCTAAGCGTGTGCCTAAGTTTAGGCACCTGAATAGTGCTGTTGAGTTGATAAAATCGTTCACATGCCTGGTATTAGCACACTTTCAAATACCTTGTTGAACCAGAGAGGACGCACGTTGCATCTTGGTTTTTGGAGGGTTGGTTTTTTTCTTCTGAAGTTTCCTTCGCACTATCGCTTTGCCAAAAATAGGTTTATTTTGGGAAGCACAAAGGTAAATTGAAGAGAGGATACCAAGTATTACTGTATTAAGTATACTATAAAGGAAGGTTGTTTCATCAATTTCTTGATCTTCATTATTCCATTTGCTTAAGATGTTTGATTTTTCTATTACCAGTAAAAAAATAGAAGCTTCTTATTTCAGAAGGGGCTATGAACACTTCCTTATCACTAGTGAAATGTCATGTATGCTTTAACGAGCAAAATAGCTACTATCTGCCCAAAACACATATATTCATTGTGCAATCAGCAGTTTCATACATAAAATTAATACTTAAATGGTGCCAGGAGTATTAAAGTATGTAATTGTTATTATTTAAATGCCTTGAATTTATTTGGAACAGTCACATTTTTCTTGTATACATTCTCATTTTGTTTTCATAATCTACATTTTTAAGACATCCAGCAGTTAGGCTCTATACGGTTATACATGTATTAGCTGCTTTTTAATTTATTCCTGTATAATCCAGTATTATTAAATTCTGTGGACTAAGGAACTGATCCTGTTCATTAAAGTCAATAGATGCAGTGTTGCTCTGTGTGTGTGTGGTGTGGTGCTTTTTGTGGTTTATTTTTCCTTTGTAGGATCAATTCTTCAGCATGTAACAAACTGATACATAAATGGTCTGATCCTTTAGGCTTTACTTGGGGAAAATATCCACTGATGTCAATGCCTGAATGGGATCAGTCTCTTAAAAGGATAGTTTATTTGAAACTGCTGTAGCTATTATTATTTCCTTCTGGAGAAAAATAATCTTAGTCATCAAAGCTTTAGAAACGGCATCAAGAGAGCCAAGTT